CACAGTTTTGTGTTTCCCCCCTCCTCCCCCCTCCCCCCAGTGACAGTACTTTACTTTTTTCCACAGGACTGCGCCTGTAAAGTTTAAGGAATGCTCCTCCTCCTCAATTCATCCACTTCCGGCAGTTGACCGCCCGGCAGTGACAGGGGATCTTGTGTTGGTCATCTTCCAGGTCGAACTTGTAGTCGTAGCAGAGCTGTTAAGACAGACAGATGCTGAATTAACGTGCCGGCCCTTGCGCTGGTTGGGGGGGGGAGGGGAACCCATAGCAGCACTGCCATGGATGAGTGTTTCAGGAGTCTAATGTCTAACAAGGGCTTGCGGTCACTGCGGGGAGTTGTAGATTGATGGGATTACAGGAATTAAAAGGCCCACAAAGGGCTCTCCTAAACCCTCCATACCATGCTGAGGTCTTACGGGAACAAAGACTTTAAAGGTTATGGGGGCAGCAAGCCCATTAGGGCCGCCCAACATTAATAATGGGGGTGGATCGCCTCACCTCTTCTCCTCGCTGGATCTTCCGATTTGAGCTGATGATGATTTTATGTCCTCGCTCAAAGGTCACCACCTCAGCAACGCAATTCGGCGCACAGGAGTGGTTGATATACCTGCAGAAAAAAGCTGACGGCTTCAGTAAGGAGGGTCAGATAGAGGCTTCCGGAAAGGCTACACATCAGCATCGTATAAGTTGTGTGTGTCCTGAACAGTGCGGCTCCCTGCCTTGTGTGCTGGGATGGGCTCCAAGCCCCCTACAGGGACCGTGACCAGGATATATGGTTGGAAGATGTATGGATAGATAGATGGAAAACTGCTTGTTAACTCTTGCAGTAAGTACGGGGAGTCAGTAAGTTTCTTCCTGTTCTTCTGTGGGAACAACAATGTGAAATGGGCCTTAGGTGGAACCATGAAGGACACCTACCTGGCAGGCCCCCCCGTTATCGTGGCATCAATGACATGCTCGCTGTCAATTCGGAACATGTACACGCCCCGGTTCTGTGACATCAGAGAGAGCAATGGAAGACAGATGAGATGGACAGCATCAGGAGGAACCCGCATCAAACACAGCTGGTCTTTTGGCTCATACCTGCGACTCATACATCTTCTCCCTCCTATTGGCCACCTCGTTGCGGATGATGGTGCCAATGTACTCAATCACCATGGTGTACTTCTCGATGTCCCTGGCAGCATACAGACCCAGGCCCTGGACAGACACGCACAGCTACAGTGAGATCCAGGAGAGGGAGCGGAGCAGGTTAAGGACTGGATATGGTGGACGCCTCCTCACTTTATCCACACTACTCTACATCTCCCCTGGCTGCCATTTGAGGATTCATTATCCAGTGTCTTCTAAGTGGGAACAGCTCCAACTTAAAATGCTGGCTGCAATTTTACTAGGCCTAGTCTGTGACCATCACAGCATAGCTGGAGACCCTAAATGAGAATTTGTGTGTGTGTGTGTGCATCCTTGGTGGCCTCCTGCTGGGCTGCTCCCAGCAGCCTTGGCACCCCAGGGTGGGTAACTCCACAAACGAGGCACATATAGATACGCTGCAGACACGCTGCTAACGGCGCTGACCTGGATGCGTGACCGTGCCAGGTACACATTACTCTTCCACTCGGCCTTCATTTTGCGGTACTGTGATGACTTGGAGTGCACAAACTGCTTGCTGTAGGGGGCGCTGATCTCCCCCGTGATGGTGCTCTGGAAGGACTTGGAAGTGCTGGTGCTGGTCAAGGTGTGAGGCCTGCAGTAAGTGGGTTGGGTGGAGGGGGGGACAAGATGAGTACTGAAGCATTTTAATACCAGGGTGTGGAGAATGGAGAAGCAAGTCGAGCTGAAGCAGGGGGTAAGGAAAATGGGGTAGTTAAAGCCAGTGAAACACAAGAGCAACTCATCTCATTCAAGCAGGAAGTTTCAATGACAGACCATGAAAATGACTCATCCCAGAATCACCACAAGACCACAAGCAGGTAGATGGAAGAAGGATTGGGCATGTGGGGATGACAGAAAATCGTGAAAGCCATAGAAAATATCTTAACACGAACCTCTTGGCATGGGGACCGGCTCGGGGCTCAGAGCGGGCTGAGCCTGATGGGTTGATGGCCAGGGGCAGCTGCATCAGGGGGTTACGGCCGTAGCGGAAGGTGTAGTTCTCGCAGGCCTCCACTCCCGGGAGCTGTGGGATGGAGGGGGGGCACGTTAAGCACAGCCCGGATTCCACAGGTCTGAATGTTCGTATGGGGACTGATGAAGTGGTGACACTTCCTACCGATTCGATGATCCTGGTGACCGCAGAGACCGTGAGTCCAAAGAGGTCCTCTCCCTTCAAGTAGATGGGGAAGAGCTTCAGCATACCAGACTCTGCCCTCCGCTCAGCAACTGGCCCCAAGACCTTGTCCCAGACCCCTGCAAAGAAAGTATGGAAATGTGAAGTTGACATTTTGGAACACACCTTCTGCTGACTGGTAATTAGTAGCTGCTATCCTGCCTGGGTGCAAGAGTGCCACAGTGTTGGGTATGTATCACTGTGCAGCTTTCCAGTTGTTAGTAGAGTGCTGGAACAAGATCAGGGTATCGAACCCTACAAAGAATGTGGGGGATATTGGACACAAAGAGCTCACAGGGTGGCGATGTCAAGACCAGGCCACAGTACCTTTGGCCGTGGTGTCTGTTAGCAGCAGATCCTCGTAGCCCTGCTCCACTACACGGATACTGAACTCGGGCCGGCTGTCGCGCTCATCGATGGAGCACAGGTAGCGGCAGCGGCGGTTGCTATGACGCGTGCTCCAGTAGATACGGCTGGCCTCGTAACCCATGGGAAAGATGGCGGTGGCTGAGTGGAAGGCGGCCATTTGCTGGGGCAGGAGCTGTCCCACGGCGTGAAAGACCAGGCTGCCCACGCGGAAGGTGTGGTCGCGCTCAGCACGCC